TGTCGAAGACATTGCTGTCACCTTTAATGTTAGAAAGCATGCGCTCGGGGTGACACCTCGAGAACGCATTTACGAATAGAAGTGGATGAATACTAAAAGAAACTGATGATGAGACACACTGCGAAAGTTTTAATTAAGTGTAATCACACAAATTACAGCGGTAAAACGACTTTAGACATTTTCTGCAGATTATGTACACAATGTCCAATGGTACACCGGCAGGAGTTGCATGCTTAGACGGCATTCTAGTAGTTGATCGCTTACAAGATGGATTTCCGAAGTCAATGGACAATTTCGTGTACTTCTACGTCAACTTTGTTTCCGAAGTGAACACGGAAAAGACTGAATGTGTGTACAAACGGAATGTTTATTTCGGATAAATAATAAATGTAGGCAGATGAACAGTGGACCTAGAGAGAGTACTGGCATTTTAAAACATAAAACAATCCACAGAATGCAGTAGAATCGCAATTATTTACGGGTCTTGTCAGTTACTATGGCCATTCATTGCAGGCTTTCAAAGCTTGAAGGGTCCTATAAATCAACTTTTGTTCAAAGATACCCGGTGCATCTGGTCAGAGATGTCCCAAGAAGCTCTCGTGTCTATAAAGCTAGAATTAATTATTTCACGGTGCTGTCATATTTTGAGCTGAGGAGCCAGACCATCGTCCAGACCGACGTCTTGGACAATAAGCTGGGAGAAGTCTGGCACGAGGAGAAGGGGGTGGAAAAAACTTGAGCCTCTAGTACATGCCGCAAGGTCACTGATGAAGACAAAACGGAATTTAAGTCAGGCTGAGAAGAGGCTATGGTTATAGTTTTTTGCATTTTTAATATTTACACCCTACAAACAGTTCACCGTGGACGCAGAGCATCAGCCCTTACATTTCTTCTGGGAATGAAGGCTGGCAGACAGCAAAACGTTGCGAAATAGACTCAACGAAGGACGTTAGTACTCTCGGATCTTGACTTCACCTCTTAGTGCATACACACGCAGAAAGTTCGGACTTCAGACACATTTTCGGGGTTAAGTGAAAACATAGAAACTCAGAGGAAGTGGTCGTAGCACAAACGTCGGTTCTAGATGAGGAATGACTCGGTGAACTTATCCAGCAGCTTTTCACCACAGCCTAGCACACCAGAGCTGTGAAAGCAATAAGTCACTATTATGGCGAGTCAAGGAATTCATGCTGCTTGGCTGACCGAATAAAGGCAGAACCTACATATACCTGACGGCCTCTAAGAATGGTAAGAGTCAGTTGTGCATCAAGCAGTGTTGCATGACGTACCACGGTCGAGTTCTTGTGCCGGCTAAACATAAAGCGATAGCTGCATGCTGGACACCCAGGCATTACGTGAATGAAACAGGCAACAAGTTTGTTTGCTGGCCGGAACTGGCGGGAACATCGAAACCTGTGTTAGTAGTCGTGGCCCGTACGGACGACGCTATGGCTGGGAGCCATGAAATTCTTGAGCATTGAATAAGTTTTTCCCCAGCCTGGTGAAAGTACATTTTAAATGGCTGGATTTTTTCGACATCCCGGTAATTATGGCGGAAAGGACGGTGGGGAAAACAGAGGAATTGGCAATCAGGTACGGAATCCCAGCAGGAAGTGTGGCCGCCAATAGACCCAGGTATAGGGAATGAAACACATTGTGTCACCGCCTTCCCATTTTAAATTATTTGGCCAGGCCGAAAGTTTCGTTATCACATTCAAAAGTGCGATGAGAAATGCATAGGTGTCAGGTGTTAGAACAGAACATATGAACATATAATTGGACCTACCCCAAAAATGCTGGCAGTCGACCCCAGTTACCGACTGCACGAAGTAAATACTTCAACAGCGGAAGGTGATAGGACGGCCCAGAATATGAGGCACCTTTCTTGTCACCCGACTGTCACGCGCGACTGAGTCCGCACATGATTCGGTAATCAGCGCGCCGCGGGGTTATGCGCAGCCTTCAGGAACCGGAAACGCGCAAAGGCTCTCAAACCATGACGAAAGGAGACACGCGAATCTCGCGATAACACAACCTTTAAATACGACGTCATGGGCGGAAGGGTTGATAATTGAGGTGCACTTAATGACTGCCGTAATGAAGTTGTTCTTTGCCATCCTATTTGTCATCTGTTCCACATAGCAAGTTATACTATACTGCGGGGGATATAACGAAAACCGTGTACATTAGATGAAAAGTAAGCCAACAGGATGACTCCATTTATCATCACCAGCCCTCCTAATGAGTCAACCGCATTCTACAGTAGTAAAATATTCAGGATGTTGCGAGCAGTAAAGATCCCATTTCCTAACTAAAACTCTAAGAATCATGGCAACTAGGTATGAAATCTTACGTCAAATTATATCGCTCACTTCCTCACGTTTGCGAGTCTGTAGGCGGGTATCACGAAGTATGAAACCATAATAACAAGTATTTTGCCGTAGGTTAGGCTTAGACCTGCAGTTTGGTGTCCTTTTGGGCGAAAATTAACTGCAAACGCGCAAAATTATTGTTTCAACTTTTGCAATAGGCGACAACTAGAGACGCGTCGCTAAGGGAAAACTGCGACTCACGGGGTTTTATAAGACATGCTCGATAATAAGTTCATCGAAAAGGACTGCTATACTGATTAGCGCAAGCCATTACCTAGAGTCATGTCCTATCGCCAATCGTTTAAAAAGGCACACACCCCCATTGTCCACACAAATATCTCCAGCTCTCAGAGTCATTTTCAATTTTAGCAGGCTGTATACCGTAGAATTAACGTCGCGTGGAAATAAACTGTGAAATGACAACATACTATTTGGATTTTGAGTGCATCAACTCGAAATTACCTCGGAATCTTTGGGTACCGAATAAATACCCAATTTTGCCAATAGGGAGATCCGACCCGAACCCTCCAAGGAACAGATACAGTGTTTGCTCCTTTCATTTCATGCCGGTAAAGCATCTCAAATTCGTTCTCATCAGTGATCTGCTATAGCACAGCTATAGCAGACTACAAGCGGCTGAGTCGTTGCTTACCTAACTTCATACATAGCAACCTGTCTATCCTTACATTCTGCTTAAAATATCCCGCCTTACTCTAGAACAGATTAAAAAGTTAGCAAAAAATCGGCAATGAGCCATGCAGTTATAAAAAACGCGTCCACAAAAGTCGCACCGCCCGGATTGGCACTCGGTACTTCCGAGACCAAAGGGAAGGATGCCGACCACTACACTACGGATGGACGGCCTGCAATCAGTCAAATTAATTTGTCAACTACAGAACAGCAGCTGCGAACGGTTTTTAATTTGTTAACAGTCTCTTATGAAAAAATGCCGATGGGATCATTAGACTCCACGGAGATTAGGCACAACAGACTCCCCGAGACACAACAGGAAGTAATGACCACTGTGCTGGCGTCAAACATTGAAAGCTGCATGACAAATGGGACGGAATCTGCGCCAATCCGTCGTCATGTTGGCTGTGAGGAACTTAACAAGCAGGTCCAAATTCTAGAAGAGAAGCAAGACCTACTGACCGATATCATTGTTGCTATTCTGAGGCACAGTATTATAGAATCCTTTTATAATCTGCCAACTTTTCTCCGACAAACGACGGATATCCTCCCAATGTAGACACTGGTGTGGAAAACTTAAAACCAGTCAGGAAGAGGAAACAAGTTATGTTCCAGGGGAAACTCCATACAAATCATTTTCGGAGAATAACGAAGCCAGTCGACGTTAATGCAACAAATATAAGTCAAGTTTCATCACCAGTCACGATAATTAAACCTGCCATCGATCGTTAAAAATGGGAATACAAGGGTGAACCTCAGAAGACCAGTTCAAAAATACGATAAGTGTTTATTTTTGGGAGGGGACGCTGTCACTCGATTTCTCCACAAGACCGGCTCAGCTGAGAAGTGCCTTAAACAGTTCGTTTATGGAAGAGGACACGAAAACTCTTCGTACAGTACATTGCAGCGGGGCAAGGACTGTGAAAGTCCCCATGCCGAAGTCAGTACGTCATAAGAAGACTTGGGTCCGATAATCTCAAAGTCGGACGACAATCTGTCTAACGTCGGTGCACCATCATCTGTCGGAAGTACCACAGTGGCAACATATTGTTCTAGCGCAGGTGGGGCAATAATGAACTCGTAAGCAAAATATCTTAATAAAGAGTGCCCCAGAATCCACGCCCTGGATTCCGAAAAAATGGGTAATCCACGATCTAGACCTTCTTCATGAACACGCCAATGCCGTCCAGACACTATGGCTTTTACAGAAATTTGGCTGTCTGAAGATACTGCAGATTCAGAAATATCACTTAGAGCCTACCAACAATTCAGGAGAGGTAGATCAAGCCGAGGAGGAGGGGTCAGTATTTATGTCGCTTGTTGGCCGACCGCTATGGCTGAGTTACATGATCCGGTACAGGATGTGGAACTGCTAAGTATTAATATCTGCTAAGTATGTCCGACCACTGACGCTCTCGGTGGTGTACCTTTCGCCTAACCAGACTTCTGGCCAAGATATCATTCTCATAACCGAATTGTGCAAAGTCAGTGAGAAGAAATATGTCCTTACCGTTGAGGATTTCAGCACTTCTGGCACTGATTGGCAAACATCGACTTCGTAGGGTCTGCCGGACAACTTTAATCACACACTACAATGGGTAACGGAAAACGTCTCTGACAGAACGTTAGCTTTGGAACGCGGGCCAGGGAAGGACAGCAGTCGAACTGCCTTGATCTTATTTTTACCCGTGAGTAGGAAAATGTGTTAGACTTTCAGGACCGACCGCCATTAGGGTCAAACGATCATATCACGCTCTACTTCGGGTACCCACTGATTCCCAAACCAGTTCAACCTGATAGGTGGGAGAGAAACGTTTGGAAGGGGGACCATTCTCTCATAAGGAGAGAAGCGGTATCAGGGGAGACAGAATTGCATGGTGGAGCAAACGACAATTATAAAACTTTCAGTTAATTACTGAGATGTATTGTTTATCTCAAATGTCCTCTCAGAAGAAAGACGAGTACAAACCGCCCAAGGTGGGTAAGCTAGAATTTACGGCATTCTTTCGAAAAAATCGCCTTTGTCGGCTTTACAGACTAACCGGCTCCGAGAAGCACTTACGGAAATATAAGCAGCATCGCAGCATTTGCAAAAGCGGGGCTTCGAAGCTGAGAAGGAAGTTCGAACTGAACGTATTGCATAATTTGTTGGAACTCCTCAAAATTCTATATGGCTATACACAGAGTACTAAAAGAACTCAGGAATTGATCCCTACCCTTAGGTCTGTAGACGGAAAACTGGAGACTGACGCCAAGGTCAAAGCATCCCTCCTTGATAATTTCTTTCAGTCCTTCTTTCACCCGAGAACCTAATTCTTAATTTGCCACTTCACCCTCTTTCTTCCCCCCCCCTACTCCCACTCTTTCCCCTCCCTATTCTGCCCAGTTGAAGAACCACACTTTTCATCGTCCATGGTTGGGACCAGTTTACTCCGACTGAAGCCTTTCAAATCGTCTGGTCCGGATAGAATCCCTCAATTAGCTTTTCGGGAACTTGTTAACGAACTCTGCGACCCATTGGTTATGGCATTTTAAAAGTCATTTGAAGGGGGCGCACTTCCGCAAGAATGGAAGTTCACCTTCATCATTCTGATCAATAGAGGAAGTTCACGGCTTGGCTGTGAAAATTATCGAACTGTCAGTCTAACTTGCATTGTATGTTAAATAATGGAACGCATTATCAAAGGACATTTGATGGAATACCTGGAGAAAAAGAGAATGTTTTGTGATGCCCAACATGTCTTTCGCCCAGGATGTCATGGCCTGACGAGTTTTCTTTACTCGCACGAGAAGTGGACAAGGGTTACAGATAAGGGTGATCCAGTAGATGTCATATTTTTGACTTCAAAAACCTTTGATAGCGTCCCACACAGGCTTTTTTTACAGAAGATTTGAGGTGTGGGAACTCGAGGAAGAGAACTTAGATGGATCAGAAGTTTCATGTTATCCAGAATACAGAGAGTCGTTATTGGACACCAGGTTTAGTCCGCCGGTCTAGGCGGCTACCGGTGTGCGGCCGCTGGGCAGAGCCTAGCTTAGGGAAGCCATATATAAGAGTTGGGTGTCAACAAAGGGACGTTAGGCGCAGTCTACACTTGCACGTGGACCCACAACTGGACGACCCTACACCCCACATACATATATACAATGGTAGGGGAAGCACATTGATCGTTCTTACGGAACTCACTCGTTCCATTAAGCCTTACGGACTCTCTCTCGATTCCGGCTAGCAGCCGCACAGCGGCGCATGATATAGGCAGTATTTTATTACCGAAAAAGACAATGGAGACTGGAATGGCCATTTCTGGTTTATTAGCCGACGTCAGCCAGCCATACCCAACCCCGAGGTGTGGAACACCCGAGCCTCGAACTCGCGATCTATCAGTTAGAAGTCCACGCCTCTAACCGCTGGGCCACGAGCCCGTTGCCCTGCCGGTTCCACACTACGGGCTTGTGTATGGCTGGCTGACGACGGCTAATAATCCAGAAATGGCCATTCCAGTCTCCCTTGTCTTTGTCGGTAATACCATTCTGCCTGTACATCATGCGCGCTGTGCGGCTGATGGTTGGGCTCGAGAGAGAGCCCTTAAGGCACAACGGAACGAGTGAGTTCCGTATGAACGATCGGTGAGCGCCCCCTACCATTGTGTATTCCCGATCGAAAATCGACAGGGCAACGGGCTCGTGGCCCGGTGGAAAGAGGCGTGAACTTCTAAACCAACAGGTCGCGAGTTCGAGGCTCGGGTGTTCCACACTTCGGGCTTGGGTATGGCTGGCTGACGTCGGCTAATAAGCCAGAAATGGCCACTCCAGTCTCCCTTGTCTTTGTCGGTAATACCATTCTGCCCGTATGTATGTATGTGTACCCCCCAGACGGGCCACGTGGTAGGGGTGCTGGACCAACACGGCGGCCATATCCGATTTTGGCAGGCGTTACCGGATTGCGCACCATAACAAATGCAAGCATTTTCGGGTGCGGTGACAGACCCGGTTGCCGGAAGACGTCGTGAAGACTGGGAGCCCTGCCGCCCCCCATTGTTGTTGGATAAAAACCCGTTGTGCCAACGGTAACGAGAACGAAACCGATCATACTGACCCAACCGTGAAAAACTCGGCGCCTCGGTGGGATTCGAACACACGCAGTAAGGAGAAGGCTTTAGTACAGCCAACGCTCTAACCACCTGAGCTATGACACCCCGCCGGACGACTTGATTTTGATCACATTTGGGTCACATTTGAGTTTTTCACAGTTGGGTCAATATGAATTATTCAAAATCTGCCAAAATACCTATGAATTACGTGAGCCTGGTAGTCATCTGGTAGATTCTAGGTGAATTTCTTGGGAAATCCTGCTTGGGCAGTCAACATACTGTATCAGATTTGGTGGATTCCATATGTTGCAGTAGGTCGGGTGGGTAAATTTGACCCAAATGTGATTAAACTTGAGTCGTCCGGCGGGATCTCGTAGCTCAAGTGGTTAGAGCGTTGGCTGTACTAGAGCCTTCTCCTTACTGCGTGTGTTCGAATCCCACCGAGGCGCCGAGTTTTTCACAGTTGGGTCAATATGAAAATATGGGCAGTCACGATCGAATCGAATGAGAGGGTAGTGTCTTTTGGCGTCGTCTCACTCTTCACTTCCGTACCACAGGCCCTTGCGGTCGAAACACTCATTGACCTGCTAAGTCAAAATTACCACGGCGGCGATGGCCAGTCCACAGCTCAGGATCTCATAGAATTCATGTGGCACTGTCCCAAGACATTCTTCCCCTTCGAAGAAATCACATACGAGCAAATTAAGGGCATTCTATTGAGCTCACCAATCTCCAGGCTCATTGCAGAGGCAGTTCTACAAAAACCCGAGAGACGACTATTCGAGGAGTACAAACCCAAGTTTTGGGCATACTACGTTGATGACACCTTTGTAATCATCGACCGGGATAAAATCAACTACTATGCGGAACTGCTGAACTCAATCATTCCCGATCTCCAGTTCACGATGAAAGAGGAAGTAGGGGTCAAACTTCCATTCTTGGATGTTCTCATCTGCCGCCAACCAAACGACTTCGGTCTACAGAAAACTGACAAACACGCTGCAAATGCGCAGCTACAGCAGCAACCACCCGCTACAACACAAACGAAGCTGTGTCCGCACGTTATACCGACGGGTGGAAACCCATTGCAGAACACCAGCCGCCAAACTGGACGAGATAAAACTCCACCAAGAACTCTCCAGAGCCAACGGCAATCCGCGGGCATTCATTGAACGGAGCCGAAAGCAGCCAAAGAAACGGAATAAAGAGCATAGTCAGTCAAATTCGTGGCGGAACATTCCGGACATTGAAGGGGTCTCCGAAGCCGTGGCTAAATCCCTCGCGCCACTCGGAATAGGTGTTGCCCAGAGGCCTGACCCCAAAATCCGCCGGCAAGTGATGCGGCCAAAAGATCCGACCCCTACGCAGGAGATGTCGGCCGTTGTCTACCGACTTCAATGCAGCTGCGGAAGGTGCAACTACGTTGGGGAAACCGACGGACGGCTGCAAACGCGAATGCACGAGCATAAGTTGGCTGTGCGAAGGTTGGACCCAAAGTCGGAGGTAGCAACCAATGCCGCGCAAATGGGACACTTCTTCAACTTTGACGCCGTTGAGATTGTGGGCCGGGCGATGATCAGTCCGCAAGGCAAGTGCTAGAAGCCTGGATGTCCACCGACTGCTCTATCAACCGCCAAATCATTTTGCCCCCATTCCCCCCCATCTGACTTCACGAACCTTCTTAACGGGGGACAGTCACGGCGCGGGACAAGCGGGGCCGTCAATCGTCACCGCGGCCGACGGGGGCGATTCAGGTCACGGTGACATGCGGGTTGGATGCAGCCACACAGGCAGCATTTGTGGGTCACTCATTGAACAAAGCGCGGCATATAAGGGGAACTGTGCGCAGGACTTTCCAGCCTCTGGAGATGGGTAGACGAATCAACTACTCGAGACGTCGGACCTCCAATAAATACTTCCCGCTGAACGCCTCTCCTTCTTTTGCGTTGCGGAATGTCTGTGTCTTATTCGCATCTCGAAGAGATACCAACGCGTTTGTTCACTTACTCCAGTGGCATCTGCCGAAAGACTCAGTTCAAACGATAAATCTAAGTCTGTTTTAGCAATGCTATGCAGACTGAGGTAAGCTGGCCTGATACCAGCAGCTTAAACGATATCAAGCCACTTCAGAGTCGAATACGTTCATTGGCCCTGGCTACCGATCCAGCAAATGCTTAATGTTTATGATTTAAGTGCCAAACTTTTCCCCAGCTGAATATGCAGCTAACGATTCCAACGCGCAAACGTACGTGCAGCAAAGAAAAATGTGAATAATGAACATTCCAGTTGGCCAGACAAGAAAGCTGAACCTCACGACTTCATATAACTAGTCAGTACACCAAAAACCAAACAGAAATACCCAGTGTCCCTGCTTAGCACAGACGAAAGACAACACAGATAGACTAACTTCCACAACACGATGGAGATTCAATGCGCCAATTTTCATTATCAAAGTCAAGCAAAGAGCGTTTCATTACATTGAACGCAGAGTCAGCCATTACGTTCATGACCAGGGCCGCCAACATCGCTCTGTGGACGCTCTGTGGACGTCTTTTCTGTTCTTGATGTCGCTGGCCAAAATTGTGGTCTTGTGTATGTTGTGGATAGGTGGGTGTGGAGTGGGCGCCCGGGTGGGGGTTCGGCCGCGCCATCCTCCTGCACCCCCTCCACCCTCCGGCCTCCTGGACTCTGTCTTGACACCGGACCCAAGTGGGGAGATGATAGAGTGCGGTAGATGCTGCAAAAGTCTACTCTCACTCTAAGCTTATTTACGTACTAGTTACCGTGCCTGTTTCACCTTGCTGTGGATCACACGGTGGACATCGTTGGATGCGACGATCGAAATACCTGTCAATCACCTGCCTTCATTGGCTTCTGATTTGAGAACTTTCAAGTCGTCGACCATTCTACCTTGGCAACCACATTATCTGTGCGCCACGGAGTAGCAATAATGACGACTGCAGAAAGACTCGGATTATCCATTCTCACTTATCAGGGCATAAGTTTCACCAAAGCTAATCTGAACTGCAGACTCTATCGAAGGCCTAACACATTATGTGTATTCTTATTTTGTCCGTGTTTCCTCGTAGTTTGCCAGTCCTACTTCACGCACACAGTCCAACTTTATAATTAGGAAGGTTGGTATTTGCCGCGTTCGACCTCCCTTGTCGCTTAAAAGTCCAGTGACTAATCATGTCGATTTCCATTGAGGCAGAGTATCCTTATTTGCACCCGAGCAGTAGGATCCTTTTCCCCATGTTCGTATCGTCGGCGATGTCCACATAATATCACGAAGTGTTCCCCATTACCGACCAAGCAGGGTTTGTATGTTAACGTTGCTTTGACCACGTGGTAATGAAGGCATTTACTAGGAAGATGTCAACGACTTCTGCTACTGAGTTTACGTTGCTTGGAAAGAGCCCAGCGTCATGTCTTTAGTGCCTTAGAGCGGAACGGTCTACACATACATCTTCAATGAATACTCGGTTGTGATTAAAGGTAGCTAACTGTACTTTTAACTGCTAAAAGTTCAGCTGACAACTTGCATTCATTTTCTTCTGAAGCGACGACTTAGCATAGCCGATTTTTAACAAATTATCCAGTTTCGTATTCGCTCATCCGTCGGAGGACAGTAATATATGGGAAACATTAGGTACTAGCAGCCTCTTCACCTGGATGCAGTCTGCTGACCGGCTCAGACAGCGGCTGGGGTGTGGGAGTGGGAAGGGAGAGTGAGGTCGACGACTCAGCGCACATTCTCCTCACTATAAACAATCTGACGCGCTTGAAGCCATCACGGTGCGCTAAAAGCCGTGGCTTGGAAGGTTGCCAACTGACGGGGTAACTTGGACCTCCTCCTTGACCGGAGGCGGTCTGAGAATCAGGCTGCAATGGCTCCTTTTTAATGTGGCCTTTATGGCACTCCCATCACAGTGTGGGATCCGAGCCAGGCGTTGGCGGCACGCCCAGGTGCGGCTTCGGCCGTGCCAGCCTCCAAATCTCTCTTGTGTTGGTTGAAATCCTGGTTATTTGTTGTGTGGACCAGGGGGTGTGGTGGAAGGCCAAGGTGAGGATCCGTTCGAGCCATCCACCTGCGGCCTCTCTCGTCTCCGGTCTTCTTGACTCTGTCTTGACACCGGGCTCGGGCGAGGGAGGAGGAGAGAGTGTAGGTAGATGCTACGCAAGTCTACCGGCACTATAATCCATTGCGTAAGTCACCGTCCCTGCTCCCATTGCTGCTGCAACTGTGGGGCACACGGTGGACATCATCGAAACCGATGGTCGAACTGTCACAGCAGCATCTTATTTATTAAACAAAGGCCTGTGAATATAGAGGAAAAATGAGAGAGAGGGAGAGACAGGGAGGGGGAAATTGGTTGAGTTCTTCTGAAGGCTTATTTTCACTGTTTGTAGATAGTACAATATTGCGAACTGCGAAGAAAAGTTAGTAACTTTAATTAGATTCTGAAATGTGAGTTATATCAATTTTTCATCAGTCAAGGACATTAATTCTCAGTAGGTTCCGTTTTTGTCTCGTCATAACAGAACATAAAGCATCGTTTATGTCTGAAAAAGAGGACAACAGTCATTCAGCAGCGCAATTTTATGCTGTGAAACTCCTTTAAACCCATTTCCGTACAGGTGGTTCTCGAAAGTGTGCTGTGACAACGATAACTTATAAACTGAAATTAAACTCTGTCCGTTAAAGTTTACTGGAGTCGTCTGGGCTCTCACAGATACTCTGAATGTTTTGCCCACACATCACAGCCGCAAAAAAGCAGCCGAAACACAGGCCTTGATTTTGCTTTTGTAACTCCGCTGACAAAAGCGTTAAAGGCATGGTTTCCTACAAAAGTATACTTTAGAATCGATATGGAATTAAGGGTGACTATCAGATATAGTAAAAAAAACTGGCCATTCATCCAAGTTCTTGCTGTCGTTCCTCTTTCTTCATACTGTCGTCCACAGGCTTCCACTCTGCAAACCCTAACCCAACATGCCTACCCAAACGGCACGAGTAGATATTGCATTGAAGTAAAGACTAGGCCGAGCCACACCGATCGCCACCGAAATATTCCCTTGGCAAACATCCATCTCCAGTTCAATGTTTATCGTGAGTGAGAGGGCCATGAAAAGGCTATCTTTACTGAGTTGAAGCTTTTATCTCGCTTCTGCGCCAAGTTGACTTGTCTTACTCTTGTTTGTTCCATTACAGCCATGAAGACGGGCAAGTTTCTATTTGCACCACAGTTGTCCTACAATGAACATAACATTTCTCAGCATTTCACGATAAACAGGATTATGGACGATGAGTTCACGTTCCATGTCCTACGGAGACTGTAATAAAAATACATTTTCCGTAGGTCGGTACAGAGTTATTTCCGACAGCCAGCCCTGTCCCCACATCCCATGTCACATTGGGTTCCACCCTCAGTCAGAAGCAGAATTAGTTGCTTGGTCGGAGAGCGTTTGACATCTGCGAAGCATTGTCGATGTTTTCTCTGGAAAAAACGAAGACTGTGCGGGTTTTGGGGTACTAGTAGACACATAAATCCTAACGCTGTCAGTACGCAGTTTTGAGCCAGCCGTTTCGTCCTGCCAGTGAGCTTAGTACTACGTCTCGTTTAACTAAACTTTATTTTGTCGGGGCAGAGAGGCGGCAGGGTCTCATGGGCATTTAACCGAATTCAACTAGATCTACAGGCACGTGTGTTAAACTAGTAGGCAGATATACGACGTTACTATAACATAACTACATGTGAAGAAGAAGAAGAGTCGAGCACAGGAACACTGTGTTTATTGTCCTGAGCTTTCAGACTCGTACAGGAGTCCATCGTCAGAGGTAGCAGCAGCAGCAGAACAAACGACAGGTATACGGCACGTAGGCCAATCATCGACCGACGGCGCTTTCACAGCAACCATCCGGTGGCTCACAAACGAAGCTGTGTGAAGATGCTCTTCAAAAGGATCCAAACTCATTGCAGCAAACCGGAGGACAGAGCACATGAGGCCCGTTATCTCCACGTGCCTTATAACTGTCGCTTGTTATGCTGCTGCTGCTGCCGCTGCTGCTACCTCTGACGATGGACTCCTGTACGAGTCTGGAAGCTCAGGACAATAAACACAGTGTTCCGGTGCTTTACTCTTCTTCTTCTTCGCTTATGCATACACTTGGAATTCGAAATTTCGCCTTCATAACTACATGTTTTAAAGAGTCAAGGTATAATGACCTCGTGCAGAATGTCAAGTTGGGTCAGCAGCTGATACAGTCGAAAAGGCGGGTTTCAGGTTGCGGTATAGAAGAAGGCGAATTGACAGCTGTAGCGCGAGTATCATTTGCCCGTCGTCAAAGACAGAAACAGACAGGGACAGTGGATGCGCAAAGGCTACAGTAGCTGCAGGACGCGCTTGCTGCACCACCAATTAACTGTTGAAATTGGCAGCTCCCACAATCACCATTGATGTCGTATTCGGTGCGATGATTGTTTGGTTGCTCGTATAAAATTCGTTCAAAACCGAAATTTCAACCCCAGTACTAGTTACTGACGTGATAATTGGGCAAGTGTATAGCACACCGATACTGTCATTGGAGGCAGTTTTAATCAGTTCACTCCCCTTGTGATTTACTACTCTGTCCTGACGAAGTCTGAAGGCTTAATACGGAGAAGGGGGTGCATCGTTCTTTTTGGAAGATTGTGGACAGTAAAATCATGACTTAATCAGTTGGCGATTCACCAATACTGGCACCCAAATCGCGACGTAGAGTGACTCAAATACGAACGATTATCCAAACATCGCGCCATGCACAACCGTCTGTGATAAATTCGGAGAACGCCGCTTTTCTTGTGCGCTCACTACATTGAGCTGTTTTTGCTTCTGACGACAGGTTAGAGTGTGAATCCGAAACGTCTGGGAACTAAAGTTCTAGTTCCACCGATCAAAACTTCCTCTTCTTATGTCAAATGGTCTGGGAAAGTCCCGAATTGCACAATAGATGTGTGTGGTTCCCTCTGGGTAAGTGGTCATCTGCAGGTTATTAGAATATTAAGCAATCGCCCTCTGAAATATCCAGCCCTGGCAACAGCGAGACGTCTTAGCAACGAAGGATTTTGCCGGTTGTGATTTCGCTGTGGTTATCTTGGCCAGATTCTGAGTCATGTTTGAATGATTTAGAGAGCCAGGGGGTGGAAAGGCTGTTCGGATGAAGTGAGATCCCAAATCCATGTTCTAGGAAGTGACCTCGCCTTACAAATCACACTCGTCGTATAATTTTCCGCGCGGCATCCTTGTTTCCTAGGCTACCTTTCAGCTGCTTTCTGAGAGCGGTCACTTAGCAATTCCCTGTTGAGCAAGATTTCTTTGTTTGAAGTGGACTGGCGGATGCGAACTATCTACCTTGATTTGCCTGGACAAGATCTTCTTAATCATACGTGCATGTTTCAAAATAGAGGGAGGTAACGATAGGTTGTAGGACCTCGAGGATATGCTACGTCGAAAACCTACCTACTATACTTGTTCAAGTAGGTCGTTGGTTGTTTAGTACTGCTCTGGACATGGAGTTTGCCTTGTAGCACACATTTTCCGTGCAAATTTCAATAAATTAATAGCTTAGTTAGCCTTTTCAGTCCGTTCTAGGCGTTACCCCTTCAGTTTACTATCGTCTCGCATGAGCTTAAGTCAGAGGGTTGAGAAGCGATCGTATAGCCTCGGTCCTCCATCGCAGACGTCACGATTCAATTTATCACTACTTTCCATGATCTTAACTCAGAGAGTTCAGGAGCGATCGTATTGCTTCCGTCCTCCATCGCAGACATTACTCCTCACCTTACAACCATGCCTTAAGCTCAGACAGGTGAGAAGTGATCGTAATACCTTTTTTCCCTACTGGTAGCGAGGCCAACGAGGATACTACCCTCCACTCCGCATTTTCTTGACTTGAACTTAGTCCAGAGAGTCTAGAAGCGATCGCACCATTCCGGCTACCTCCATGTACCGCGGCGAGTGCAGACACATACCCTCACTGGGAATTTGTGTAACCGTGACCTAAGTCAAAGATATTAGAAGGCAGTTGGCTCGAGCCGACTTGATATACAAGTATTTATTCGTAGTGCGGCGATAAACCGTTCAAGTTAACATTCATTTACTTCGGACACGCCGACGTTGTACTTTTGACTGCTAATGAGCGTTTCGTCAGCTTGCGCTTCCACTCCGGTACTTCCAATATGACCGGTTTTCCGCATAAGGGCCGCGAAGCAGACGTTCTGGTAAATTGCATACCATTCGACAGCCGTCGCGTAGATTACTCCAACATCTTCTTCGTACTTAGTGATCCTTGTTCCCCACAAAAATGTCAGCCAAAGCTTCATAATTGTTCTCATTCCTAATCGGCTCCTCTCCAACAGCGAGACAGTCCTGAGTGCTTCACTGTTTCTGCATCGTGCACTGCCGAACACAGCCATCCTTGGTGTGCTTCGGCACTTACAGCCGCACTTCGTGTCTACATTGTCAGGTTAGCACGGTTGGCAGTAATCGCCTGGCCTGAAATTACTCCACAATCTTCTCTAAATCAATAATTTCCAGCACCTCTTCAGTTTTCGTACACCGACAAGGGTGCGGTTTAGTTTCCCTATTTGCTGCGGCTGATGATCTGCAATTTTAAGAAAAAATTAGTTGCTTAAAAAATACTCTTCTCCAATACATATTTCTTATTTACACTGCGTCTTCACTTAGTTGCTTTGGATTTTTCAATATCTTCATATTTCCATTGCCAGCTCCCGTCGTACAGCTCATGCTTCCGTAAATTTGCCTTCTAAATATTTGCCTACACTTTTCATCAGGTAACTTTAATAGGGTAAAATGGTATTTGTGAGTACTTACATTGCACCGGCTTCGTGTTGGACTCAGAGATTGGCAGATTTGGGTTCATTACCGTTTCCAATAGAAGCGAAGAGCCGAGTCCCAGGAAGTAGTCTTGAAGAAGGAGACACGATCGCCGGGACAAGAGTTTTATTAGCCTGACGTTTCGGATTCCTACTCGAATCCATGGATGATGGATTCGAGTAGGAATCCGAAACGTCAGACTAATAAAGCTCTTGTCCCGGAGATCGTGTCTCCTTCTTCATCACTACCGTTTATTGATAACATAAACGCGTGCATTAAAAAACAACGGGAGTGGAAACACCAATTGTCGTACGTCGTTCCTATTAGCTGGAATCGCCTTGACCCCCTGACTGGATTTAAACTTACCATTGGCGGCTTATTCAAGCTTTACTATTTTTTTAAACTTAACTTTTGTGAATTTTTCACTTATCCTGCTAACGTTCTGTTGCTATACAGTAGCGCATGTTAAGTTTTAAGATGGAAATTTAAATATTTTCAGCGCTTCCTTGACTTCAAATATCCATCCCGTGCGCTTACTGCCCCACCCATAAAACCCCTCTCGCCACCGTTCCCGTACGACACGGTCAGTTGGGTAGTGGTTTATCTTGAGGCCCTACAATCTTCCGTTGCCTAGAGGAAATTTAGTGACAGAAAGCAGGCTTTAAATAACAGTTTTTTTCGAGGTGCCAACAAGTCGAAGAGTCATACACGGCAGATACTTGTTTTTTTATTCGACCTTCCAGGACGTAGAAGTTTTTGATCAGTCTCATGTTCCAAATGGTCCTAATGAATCTATATAGTTGACTTATGAAAACAGTCCATTAAAATTTCTTGTCATTTCTGTGGAGACGATTTAAACAGTCTCTGTGTTTATTTTTCATACTTCTCAGTACTAGGGTTGGATGTGACGTTTAATGTTGCGAAAAGCACCGTGCTAAAAGACTTCATTTATTTATAATTCCTTGCAAAGAATAAAGTAAATGATTGAAACTTCGTGCGTCGGGCCTTAGAAAATAGGGAACATGATGGACAGGGGTGTCAGGAGATGGAGGAGGGAAGTAAGCGGAGAGTTAGAGGAAGACAAGCAGAAGTATTCGAAGACGTGCTGGTAGACATGACGACTTCTGCGCCAGTTCTCGCATTGGTTTACATGAAACTGCGTAAGCCGCTGCCCGTGCTTAATTCCGTTGTGGCCTCACCGGTCCGACCGGCCTGCATCTGCTCGTAGATCTGACTGGTCATGGCTCGGATGGGGGAAGAGGAGAGGAGACTGGTATTTGCGGCTGCCGCAGCCGGCGTCGTCGCCGTGCCGACTGCCGGTCCTCCTTCATTTTTCTGGCCTGACATTACCGACGACAGGGCACCGTTGAGAGAGGTCGGGACACTACCGTTGTTGGCATTCGGCACCTGAAACACGGGAAGACCTGCTTGTTGCTGTTGTTGCCAGCTCATCGCCCCGTTGTTCAGACCTTTCGAGGGCGGCCCCGAGACCGCAGAGACGAGCTGACCATAGATGTCGCCAGATACGACCTGGGGGTGGTAACAGGCCGCACCGTTGCCCTCAGCTGCTCCCACCCCGCCACTGTTGCCGCCCGCGGAGCTCTCTGACACCCCAGTGTAGAGTGGGTTTAGGCCCATGAGGCTGGCGGCGCCCAACTGTTGTTGAGCGTTGTTGCTGGCCGACGCAGCAGCCGCTGCATTAGTGGCAGTGCCACCCAACGGCATGACCATGGAGGTCGCATAAGTAGGCATACCCTGTCCAAACTGGAGAGCATCCAGGGCGTGAGGCAGGTAGGGATTGACAAATGGTTGCTGCTGTTGAAGATGATGTGGGTTTTGGGTATTGGCGTAGAGCATCTGTGCCAGGAGATAAGGGTTCACGCCCATGGAAGCGGCATTCACGTAGGGATTACCCTGTAGTTCTGAGAGAGGAAGCTGGCCGGTTTGTGGCATCATTCGAGAACCGGTCGCGGGAGGCAGCAGAGGCATACTGCCTGCGCCCATGGCCAGCAGGCTGGAGAGTAATGCTGGGTTCATTTGCCCCTGGCCTAGCAGAGCCGGCGTTGTCATGGTCTGCTGAAGCAGCGGGTTCAGGAGGGTTGAATCTCTGAGGGCAGATTGAGAGGGTTAATAGAAGGATTGCAGATAACTTGCACCGGCTTGGTATAGCGTGATCCGCACAAATGTTTCACAAGAAAATACTTCAAGTGTCACCGAGGAAACCCATGCTCAAAATGCAGGCCACATCACACATCAGCAGCGGTTAGAATTGAAATGATAAACTAGTTTATGGGCAATTCACGTAAAACCTAGAATGTGCGCTTGCATGTGCAATACAGAATACAGAAAAGTGTTTATTTGCAGGAAGAAATGGCTACGATCAGTAGAAAATTAGCCCGCTTGACTGCACATTCAAAGTGGCGGCTGTTACAATTGTGTCCGAATGTTGCAGTCGTGTGACCTACTTATGGAAACGGAGACAAATACAACTTGGCGTTTATTAGGTTATCTAAAGGAGGCTCAAACATTTTATACAGTACCGAAAAGTTCAGTCGGATATGGAGTGTAAAAATAGGAGAAAACAAGTGAAATTTTCCTCTTTAGTGCGACATAATTTCGAGTTCTTTTAAAAATATCTGAAAGGTCCTCATAATTGGGCCCTGCAACAAGAATGCCTTTCAAAAACAAGTGATTAAAGCGTGTGCCGACAAGTCACGGGTTTTCTTCGAAGCGTTTGAAAGGCTTGAATTGTTGGTAGCTACTCAGTCAGGAGTATTACATGCACATCAGTTGTTTTAAAAAATCACAGGGTCAAGTGCTAAACGAGTCACTGCCATTCCCACTTTTGAAATAAGGCAAAAGGTTTGACAACTAAATCCACCCAGAAAGGCTTAGCCAGTGAACTTGACTTTTCATATATAGTCAGTGTGTGCGATCTAAAACCAGACATTAAGTTTGTGAAAAATAAACTTCTGTTTTCAGCCGTAAACTGTAAGGGTGTATAAATGGATTTGGAATCCATTTCATAGGGCGAATTCTGCTCTTCAAAATGATACAAACCTAATCAGGTAAAACAAATGTCCACACAGAAAGGTCCAGTGTTGCAGTCATTGGAAACGGCAGAGTATTTTGCACCAAATGAATGCTTCCAGTCTTCTAAGGTAATATCTGAGGGCCCCTCTTCCGCATATAACATTGCCAGATATGAATGCTCCTGAGGTTCGAGGCTGTTTTATAAAGAATAATCTGAGAATAGTGGCCACGAAAAGCTTCCCCTCTTCGGATACTCCATGATCTCACACTCACTGCTGCGCAGCACGTGATCTTCGTGGGTTTCGGTTTCCCGATCGACATTTGCCATCCAAACAACAAGTAGGAGGCACTGTTTCCCGGTATAAATTTAATCAAGGAAAAAATGACAGCTTGGAAAGAAGGCCTGACGACAGCATTCGACGTAGCGTCTGTCGGAAGGAAACGTGGTCTAGACAATACACCCATTCTTGGAGTTTCGTATCGCTAAACGTCAAATGTAATTTAGTCCGCTGTCTGACAGAAAGAGTGAGAAGAACCTGCTCAGCTGGTAGCGTTGAGATAGCGTGGTCTGCGACTGTCTCTGATGATGGATTCGAGTGAGAATCCGAAACGTCAGGCCAATAACTTTCTTGTTCCAATGATCGCATCTTCGCCTTCTAAAGAGCTTAGGATCATCGAAAGCCTTTTTCGCCAGGACGGGTATTCGGATCGATTAATTGCTAAGAACATGTCCGAAAGGCCACAAAAGCCCCCGATAGTGACGGCAGGAAAGAAAAGGATCTTCATCAGGGTCCTACTTCCAGGGGACGCGCCCAATGGACTTTTAAGAAAACGCCTAACTCAAGCTTTATCACAGACCTTTGCAGCAGCTGACACCCGTGTACTGTTCTCCACCAATCCCATCCTATACGCAGAGGGCAAGGACAAACTAACGGCTCAGACCACCTCTATGTGTATGTACTCCTTCCCTTGATCCTGTGGGGCACAATATATTGGTCACACGAGCCGGCGTCTATCCAAAAGAATACAAGAACATCTTCCAGCACGGCGAGGAAAGGGTCAAATAAAGAACATCAACAGCTCAATCCTCGCGCACATGGTAGACACGGACAATCATGTAGACGCCAGAGAGGCCTTCAGAGTGATTTAAAAGGTCCCATCAAGCTATCCAAAACTGCTTGGGCAGCGCTTGTTGGCTACGGCAGAGGCGACTGCAATCAGGCTACGCCGACCGGTCCTATGCGCACAGAAGAATTTCGTACAGGTCCCACAGTTGCCATGGGTCAAAGACACCAAGCCAGCCACCGGCATGTAATTACCTTCACAGGGGCCCACCTTCTCCCTGGCGCTGACTGGAATTGTGATGCTTCACTCTCACTATATGGGACTGCTGGCCGTAGTTCGCGCATTTTTGACTCAACTTCGCGTTCAGAAATGGCGCTTAAAATCATGATTAATAAGAGAGATGAAGGCGAAGGCCACACAACTGAGCGCGAAGTATGTAAACTAGGTCGAACTCTGCAGCAGAAATGCACAAATGTGGCTCTAGGGATCAAGAAGCGGTGGGACAGTAAATGAGGGGTGCAAAATAACCAAAAGCGCTGTGTGATCACTGAAAATGGTGACACGGCAATCATGGTCTCTCTCTTTGGCTGAAAACGCAAATCAGAGGAAGTGGAAGCGCATTAAGTAAACGAAAGACTAGAGTAATAAGAGGAAAGGAGGGTTTGGATGGCGGTATGTACACACACACATATATATATCGGTAGAAGCTTAAAAGCAACATCACGTTTAGGCCGATCTGCCACGCGCACAAACTGTGAAACGTAAGAGAAACTGAATTAATTGGTTACCAAGGCATGGGCAAACATGAAGAACAAAATCCCCCAAGCTGACAAATGCACAACAGGGAGAGAGAGAGAGAGAGAGAGAGAGAGAGAGAGAGAGAGAGAGAGAACAGAGGAAAAAGTGGAGTCAAGTGGAGGGAGGAAGACGGTTCAGTCAAATCAAAGCACTGCACAGGGGGGTGAGAGCAGAAGAAATGGGAGGGGTAACGACAATCAGTACAGAGGCATGCACCCAGAGAGACAAGCGGTTTAATTGTGTACCTTTATGGTGATCCTAAGCGCCCCGCGTGAGGGTCCTGGATGAACATAGAAGATCGTTAAAGTGGTTCTAGGACTAAACGCTTGTGAGCACACGGTGCCACACATCGTGCACATATTTCACAGACTTTCCAGCGTCAGGCGCTTGAAATTTGTTGTCGTTGGAGGAGTCTGTGATTGAAGTTTACTTTTTCTATAGAGAAGCAGCTCCTTTTATGACCACATTATGAATGCTTGCTATTTAAGGAGTCTAAATCAATCTCAGTCGACAACGGTTAGTGTCAGAAGGCCTTGACTATTGTCAGGGAAGATACTCCAAAGCTTTCTTTTGAAAACGCAACAACACCGCGACTAGTGTCTGTCGGTACCATCTTATTTATATCTACTACTAGTCGCTGTGCGACTGCCTGCGAGGGTTCTAGTATGAGCGCCAAAATACACCGAAACGAGCACGTTACCTAACCTGATGGGTGAGTACCCGTCTGTCATAACTGATATTCCCGATCACAATCGACCGGACAAGGGGCCCGTGGTTCAGTGGTGGAGTGTCAAGCTCCCTGACCAAAGATCCCCGACTCAAATCTCCACTGACCCACACTTGGGGTTGGGTATGACTGGCTGATGACGGTTAATAAACCAGAAATGGCCATTCTGATCTCCCTTGTCTTTGTCAGTGCCATCTCATGTATATATGAAGATGGGAGTGTACCGACAAAGACAGGGGAGATTGAGATGGACGCGCACCAGTCGACGAACTCACTCCCCCCACCGCTTATGTTCCCGATCGCAATCGACAAGTCTTGTCCATGGTTCAACAGTAGAACGTCAGATTTCGTAATGCTCATTGACCGAATAACCCCAGTTTGAATCCCAGTTCGTGTAGACATGGAGCTGGGTATGGCTGGCTGACGACGGCTTTTTCTAGGTAACTGCTCCTCAATCTGTATAGTTGTTTATTGTTGTTGGATTGCCTACGAAAGCGAGTTCCAATTCGCAATGGCGCGAGCATGTCCCACAACCTGATTGCCGAAATCACTTCCAACACGATAGGTGTATGCGCCTAGATATAGATATATATATATATACTTCACCAATTAATTCTACGGAAGGGAAGCATAGGAACCCTTGCATTGCCTAAGTAAGTAGTAAGATAATTTGAAGCAACTAAAAAATTGCAGCTGGATGATAGTTTGTCATTTTAGTCAGTAATAGTACGAAAATATTAATTCTTTGATCAAGCAGGACCGCCTTTCCGAGTCCCACACAAGTATGAATTTGCATAAATTTTAAAAGGTCTCCGAGTAGGAGGTTTTCGTCGCTGATTCAGCAAGCATGCAGTGGTCGACACACAACAATGGCCTTATGCAGAACTGAATCAGCCTCACAGGAGAGTATTTTGTTTATTAGCCTGTAAAAGGCCTGAAAGTCTACAACTGTCAAAATATCCCCAATTCAACTAGAGGAAAAGTTGTTACTTGCTCCCTGAAGAACAAAATTAGTGGTTCATGGTGGCTGTGCTTCACGCTTTCTGTTTACCAGAACATGTTGGTCTAGTAACACTTTCGAAGGAATTCTATTTTAAGTCGTGCTTGAATCGCGTTATCTCTCTTAAGTAGTGTTACCAACATCAGTCTCCTGGGCACAAAACATTTGCCAGTGAAGCAACCTTGGCTGCAAGTATTCAATTTCTAGGCTTCCTCAGACGCACTTCACTTAACATTAAAGATCCAAGGAGAGCGTGTCAACACTTGCGGAACCGCAGCATGCACACAGCATCTTACTACCTGACCCAGTAAATTGTCATGTTGGTTTACCGCTGATTCACTTATTGAGGTCTCTAAGAGTGTGGAATCAACCCTAGTACTCCACAGGGAAAAAGCTGGTTCATCTTGTCCTCACGCAGCTTATTAATCGCCGACTGTGTAGTCCAGTTTTAACTAAGAGATGGAGGATGACGTAAGCTTGTTGCCAGTGTGGTTAGTTGGAGGGAATTTCTGATCCGTATTTAGGCGGGATAAGGAAATATTAGGGCTACTGCGACAGAAAACGAAGTCATTGAGCCATCAGCCCGAATGTGATATAAACAATGTCATGTGACAAGAAGCCTCGACTTCATACCTTCCCAACTCTTTTTAAATAACATGAACTATCATTTCCGGGTTTTTTAAACGCGTGGTGGTTTATCAAGATCCTCACATATACGAATGTACGTTTTCAGTCAGAAGACGTGCAACAGCGTGTCAAAAGTCAGGATGTTTTTCTAGGGGAACGGTTCTCAGGAAAACAAGATTCGATGATTTTTGTTAAGACACTTAAGGTTTCCAAAAGACCGAATCTTGTTCACATTTGAAGTAGGTTGACCTTTCCTAGTTGAATATTCTTCAACTTGATGTTTTGCAGTTGCGTAACATAAACCATTTCGGTTACTACACATAAAAGTGGTCAGAAAGCTTTCAAAATTTTCCATCCTGATCTTAACTGAGGCAACAGTATTTGGAATCCTTCCCATGCACTCTACGTTATCTACTCAATTATCTAACAAGTCAGCGCGCCTGGATTTACGGTTCAAGCATGCATTTCAGTTAACGAAAACAGATACTGTATGCCGTGGCTGCTTAAACAAGTCCCTGAAACGATTTCATATATCACTTTGTGATTTCTCATAAGCAGATGATGTGAATGTAGCCTTGGAAGGCTATGCAGTGCTCATGGACCTCCCGCGTGAGTGGTTCATTTTTGCTTGTTTTGACCGAATCGCAGATAATTCTGTGTACATTTTTATGGTAGAGGGTTCATTCGGGAATTTGTAGTGAATATGCACATTCAGTTGAAGGACCTCTAACGATAGGCTACCAACTTTCCTGTCTGAAAAGGAAAACGGTCGTTCTCTGCCGGGCCGCTTACACATCGAGCACTTCAGTTCCTACTACATACATGCATCGCTCTACAGAGGCAGGTTGGGATTAGCCGTTAGGCTCTAAAAATTCACAGGAGAGACTTCTTAACTTTGGTTCTATAATCTGGCGATCACTTTAGCCATTTCTCAGTGGGTTGAGGCTTCGGTCTACTTAGCTGCTTTTACGTAGTTTAATTAAACGATGAAACACTACCTCGACCATGAAACTCGGTAAATAACAATTTGAGCCCGCAGAAGTCCAAATATACGCGATTTGGAGGCTTTGTCAAATCGCCCTTGGTTTGATTAGCTGTGTTTCCGGACTGATTGTATGCAACCCTCATGGAAAATATCGTCCGACCGCGTCTTTTTCGGGCAACGGCCCTTCGTGAACAACAAACATCGCATGTGCAGTATCGATAACATATACGTTTTAAACGAGCAAGCAGGATATGCTAAAAAACACGTTTCACTTAATACATAAAATCAAACACGTACCCGTTCGCCATTGCCAGTAAACTGGACGCATTAGCCACTAAAATGCAAAAAAAGATTAATTTACGACAACCTGTGTGTGGCTCACAACCCAGTGCGGTGATTACGGCTATCAAGTAGGTGCGTTTGGCTTGTTCGTTTTGCGCCAGTGGGCAATTGGAAAATGTCTCGAGAAAATGGAAAAGTGGAATTTCAATTTCCCATGTCCATCGTAAAAAGTCAGACCGTACGCCTTACCTGACAAAACTCTTGGTTGACGACTTTTCACAGATAACGAACTCGCGCGCAAAGGCTTAAATAACTAAGTGGATCAGCAAATATTACGTTTGTAATAAAACACTTGCAAATCTAACAGTTTTTTTGTCGTACTCAACCTCCAACTTCGCAAAGTGCCGAACGGTATGTGCTATGAAATATGTGGAAGTTTTCAGCAAAGCAACTTACTGTCATTCCTTTGGCTTACCAACAACTACTGCAAAATGTGTGGTTGGTCTTATTTTTTGAGGCACGTGGATTATTGGTTTCGACGGACTTTAAAATTTTAATGATCAAAGTGAAAATAGGTGGCGTTTGATGCTACCTGCGCCAACAAGTCCGTATGGTTCCCCCTCTTAGGAACTGGCAGTAAGTTTCAGACCCAGCGAGGCTGAATTAAGATGAACCAACTTCCGACGTTTATTCGTGAGTTCACCGGCAAGCGCCTGAATAAAAACGACCGACATAACTACTTCCAGTAGGTGAGCGTCAACCTATTTCCTACGAGGATGTCAAGCATCTAGAATAAGCCAGGCATGTGACTGAAGTATATTTCGGGTTCCGTAGAGAATTCTGCGAAAATCACAGTCGTGCACGTTGGCGACACAATTGCTCAAGGTCATTTGCGATTTGCAGATCAAGTTGCAGAGGCGTAACAAGTTAGTCTATGATGTCTTTTAGGTAATATCTACTTTTGTATGGTAACACATGTTTGGAATCCGTTTGTTATTCGGTCCAATTTTTCTTATAACTGAACAGTGGCGTATTTACATGTAAAAGAAGAGATATGTAAAGGTCTTTCAAGCAATAACTCTCCACTGGAATCGAGAATATGCGTATTTATCAAGTGCGTCCTCAGAGGGGTCCTGTAACTTCAGATAAAATGTTTGCTCATGAGGAACTATCTCCTTGTTTAACTAATAATCATCTCACTTTTGTGCTTCCAAATATATGCAGTTTTTACTCATTTATGTTGGAATTTCGTTCACCAGACGGGCTACGGGACATGTTCGCCCGTTTTGCCTTGAAGCTCTGTCAAGAGCGGATGTGGGTCAGGTGATATGCTTCTTTCTCAGACTGTGCAGCGAATGCATTAAGCTTTTTTCGATTGCGAAGCACGCGAAACGAACTCTGTCAAACATATAGTATTCGTGGAACGTGCATAGTGCTGCCGGAACGACTATCACCCAACACGGTCATCTGGTGAACGACTTTTTGTGGAGGTCTCGAGGAAACTAGATTAAACACCGAGTTGTTACTAAAGCACCATGCACTGTGGACGACCAACCCCCTCTTCTCTCACCTCTTACCCACCCAGAAATCTGTTTCGGAGTACCTGCATGACACGCGTGTGCTTGAAACCGAGGACCGCGTGCCTTCCGTAGCCACTTGACTGACCTTTGGTGATGTCCGTTTAAGGGGTGGTGATGGTTTGCGTTGTGAAGGCTTTTGTCCGCTTGGCTGGCAGAGTAGTCATAACGAAGTGGTCAGTCAATCTTCACCGCCCTCGCCCACGCCGTCGACCTTCTGTGCACGTGTTTGCTCACCGACATTGCATAACCGTGGCGCGGGACAGTCTTAGGCTACTAGTCTGTGAATGCGGGCGAACGGTAGTGGGGGTGGGGTTGAACTAGCGGCTCAGCTCCCCCCGTGGTCGCCACAACGACAAGATGATGGAGGTTACTCACGTCAGATGCGGTCCACCCCTCACCCCACAGCGCAGCGCACAGATGCGATAGACACGAGCCTCCATGGTAAAACAACGCGGTCATTCGACACTGAGTCTGGACCGCGGATACACTGGTCGACAGGAGTCTGTTACTTGACGAAACCGGCCAAAGCACTGGTTGTTATCTCCATTTCACAGAATATTCTGTCGAAAATCAAAGGGTTTTAAGGCATGTATGGGCCGTTAAAAAGGCCATACCTTGAAACGAATCTTGTAAAAGACCTGCGAACAGCAGTAACAACATCGGCACTCTCAAAGAACTTTCAATTGGACTGCTAACTTGACAGGTAGTCGTGCACATCAGATTGAGAAAATGTGGGCCAACAAATTGTGACACTGAACAGGGCTCAACATTTTGTCTCATTGGAAGGTCAATAGGCTTCAACGCAAGTCTGCTAAGGATATTACTGCATTAATTTTTTCCAGACGGGATTACTCATTAGGCTGGAGTAGAATTAAAGCAATTAAACCAGCATTAAGTGCTTCAAGTCAATTGTGCTGTTTGTTCCGGTCAGCTGTTTATTTACCGCAAGTCTTCCACGCACAAACAGCCAAAGTTCGCAACTACGAAAAAAACTTCTTATGTTTGCCCCGAAGAAGCGGGGGCCACTTAAAAGTAAATATCTGCTGTAGGAGGTAACCCTCTCCCCTGGCTGTGCTAAATTTACCTCACAGTTGATTTCGGAGTAATCTTTTTATTAATTGAGAAGGTAGAGGAGGCAATTCTTAAGGGAGGAAAATTTCGAACATAAAGGTCAGCCAACCATTCTCAAGTCACATTGGTCGATTTCTTCCCTCCCCTGCATTTTCAAGGCGTCGTAAGGTCGTTTTGAGTTCTTTACGTCTGAACGCTGAAGCCACTGACAGATACCGCCAAATGGAAGCCTATAGCTACCTAAATTCAATGTTTCGCGTAAGTTGAGTTGCAAACCCCCTGAGCCAAAGACGCTATATATCAAAGAGGAGTAGACTTTGAACTTTAAATTTGCATCATATTCATGAACTACGTTTCCAGTACCTGGGCTGATTACCAGGCGCCACACTGGGGAAAACGCGAACCTTATTAAAATGGCCTTTTTTATAGCAGAGAGATATTTGATGCCTTCTTGTCGTAGTAGACCTTACTCAGCGAACTCACTCAAAAGACATTAGTGCTGAACAGTGAAGCTCTGTCAAATAAACGATGCACAGACAGCTTAAAGAAACCACTTTTTGCAGTAGGGATAATGGATGCAATGGTGTTCCCTGTCCACTGAACAGGATTTTGATTCGGAGAAGTTTGGTCCGTTATCCAGAATTTTTCAAAATATTCCAGTTACTTACTCCACAGAGTCATTGAAGCTAGCAAAGTTTGGCAACGCAAACCGCATTAAAGTGACTCCTACTCCGAGACCAAATTTTTTTGTACTTCAAATAAGTGTACTCAGACTTTGTTTACCCACGGAGTGCGCATTACTCATTAGGTGTGTGGGCTTGTCTTGGTGGTCCGCTTGAAGTTTATGCTCGGAGGAAGTTTAAAAAACGGGAGGTCTCTGCACACAGCCTGCTGCATCAAAGACTTCTCACATGTCGACCTAAAATTAGGCCAAAACCGCTAGCTGAAAATCTACTTACTCTTGTTTTGTTCTCAGCATGATGGGCTCGAGTACTGCCCCAGGCTGTTGAGCTTTAAACCCGCGCTGCTAGAACAGTTTACTTTGGCTAAAGTAGGACACATGAAACGGGTGTGCGATGGTTGCTTGATGTGGCGACACCGCTAAACAAACTTGTCGAATCATTATCATGCCAGCCATCGGTGCTGGTGATGAAGTGGTGGGCATTAGCGTCTGGGGTCCAGGCAGTCAAGGAATTGTTGCGACAAGTACAAACCCTTGCATTGAATGCGAGTGCTAACTCTATTAGGCGTTCACTGGCGTCTGCCAACTCCAGTTACTGACGTTTATTGCCCTGGGCGAGCTCAAAACGTCAGAGAGAGAGAGTCCCTGCTCCAGCCTCCGAGTCTCCTTCCTCACAGTGCCTTATTTTCCGATCCAAGGAGGTAGAAGAAGACCTCGATAGGAGTGGACTTCTACCAGGCCGCATGTTCACATTGGCATCACGTGCCACACGCGAGTGCATTTTTTAAGTCTGGGAGCATTCCAAGTGCGCTGGAAATGCACCAGTTGAAAGTGAGAGATTGTTTTTTTGGGTCGCCACCAGTTAGGTGTTTGCTGTCATAAGTAGACCGTATGTTCATATGATGTGCAGCTGGCGATACCGAGCCCAGATCCTACGTCATCGTACTCCTTACAGATGTTTCTCATTCATAGCGAACCGCAGTCTCGGGTTGCCTTTAACTCTCTCCCTTCCCGGCCCGGAAAATGACTAGGACGACGAGCTGACACTTCTGGACGGCTTTTGGAGATTTCCAAATGCGTCGGTGCTTTCGGGGTCGACTTTCGTAAAAAAAGTGCGTTACGCGGCGTCCGAGGAATACGTTTTAAGGTCAAATAGTCAAAAGTAAGATATGTAGGTGGGTACGGTAAAATTCTTCCCTTGGAAGAAGATGTGAGCCTAGTGATATGTGAAAAAGAGTAATCAGTGTTAATCGGTTTGGTAGCCCTGGTCTTCTGCGTTAGCCCCCCAAAGACCTCAAGTTATTGTCCGAGTCTCAGAGATCTCAAGTGCATGAGCTACTCAAAACAGACCAGCGTTTAAATTGAAATGGATTTTTAGACGGCACGCAAGACGTACCCTAGGTTAGGTAGAGTTCTGTCAGTCATCTGATAAATGCTATTTCCTAGGGTAGCTTTGTGTCACACTTAATCGCAAAAAGCCAAGGAAAGAATTGGTAATTGTGTTAGTTAACAGAAACCCGGGTACGTATCTTGACACTTGCGATTCTCGTCGGTAACTTACTACATGGAACGCCTACATCGCCCCTGCACTAGCTCTTCTGGGGTTGGTATATGACGACCCTAGTCTAAAAGAATACCGCCCAGAGCTTCTGTCTTTTAGGCATATGAAACCATGCCCAAATCACCTGTGAAATAAGTGTTCCACAACTCATAGTTGTCGTATGCAACCCTGTGTACTGCTCATGCTCATTGTAAACTCTCCCGGTTCTATTTTGATGGACCTTTAAATAGGAACTGCTCACTTAAACAGGTGTTTCACCTACATGTTTATTTAGCGAATAACTCAACTGAAGTTGGCTCAAGGTAATTATTGTGTACTGTAGAAATGACAAGCATCCTTCTTCTCCACATCCTGATTTCGCGACAGCAAGGCCTGCTCGATACCTCATGGAGAGCCATTAAAATATCCTACTCACAAGCATCGGATCTGAGAATGTTAAATTTCTCTCGGCCGAACGACCAAAGGTAGGTTTACTATCAAGTAGTGCCCACTAAATTTATCAATATAGCATTGTTCAGCAGTTTTGGTCGGAATTCAGTCACGCCTTTCAAGGGTCCTAATCCCGGCAGGATGATATTGTTTGAACTAAACCACCACGAATACGCGGTGCTGCAAAAATGCCTATGTAGACTCATTGTTCTACACCCACCACATGTAATGATTAAGTAAACGCCAAAGGGTTGGCGGCGGTTGAGGGGATTCAAGAGGCGCTTTTAAATGCATATTATAACCGCCCAACTCGCCGTCATGTCCGGGCACTAACGGAGAATATTACGAAACGACCTACTCCTTTACCTCTGCGATTACTGCTTAGTCGTTTTTTATTGTTCTTTAAATTACGGGGTTGACTTTCGTTTACTATCTTACCTCAGACAAAGCTTCATTGTAGTTTTTGACTTTTTTCAATTTCCATCCCAGGGTGTTTTAAATTCTAGTTGTGAGGCCCCAGCCGTATAGCTCCTATTACCACCATTTTCATAAGACGCGCTCTACCGGTTACCTTTTTCTGACCCCGGTCACGTACTTTATTCCTGCCGAGAAAAGTTAAAAAGAACCTAATGTCTATCATCAGATTTTCGAGGGGTATTCAGAGCGCAAGATTTCCTCGACGCGCTTACCCCTGAAAATTCAGATTTTTGTTAATTTAAGATGAATTTTTCAAAGAAAGTTGACAACTAGGTGCATGTGCTTAGGTTTACTTCGAATCGGCATGTTGAAGAGCTGAGGCCAGCTTGGAGTAGAGAGCGTCAAGTGTGGGATCTCAATCAACAGGACAAACAGTTTTGTCGGCTCCATTTGTGAACCACGTCCAACAGATGAAAAATCGATTTTCTCTTCGACTGGGTTTTGCACTTTGTGGAAAGTGCTAGCGTGCGCACATAGCTTGCACCTAAAGGTCTTGTTGGCATAAGTGGCAGAGTAGGCCGAGATGTAGGCAGTGCAGTTATGGCGGCGTTTATTCCGCAATCTAAAGAGAACCATTCAAACTCGGGTATGAAGCCCAGCCGACTAGAAACCACAGGGTATGTCCTCGCGAAAATTTGCCGAGCCATGGCTGAGGATATATGGTGGCACTCAAATAGGACGTAGCCTTAGGTGACATTCGTAATAGCGTCCGCGCTTACGGGTTTTAAAGTTGTTCGCATATTGTGAATAAGGAGCTTAGGAGCTCCTTGATGAGGGGGAGGATTAAAAAGTCCTAATTTTGTTAGTTTCACCAACTTACTTCCGGCTACAATCCTTGGTTTTGCACCAAGGACCGCGAGATTGACGTTCGCCTTTCGCCCATCGATGCATGGATTGGGATCACGGATGGCTTGTAGTGCGTCACTTTTTTTGGTCATCGTAACCTGAAGAAAAAAAAACATTCGGAATTAACGCTGTACCGCATATGATCTTTGTCTTCGGGAGGGGTCTGATTAACCATTCTGCACCTCAAGGAGTGCAGGACAGACTCTAAGCTTCCTTCAAAACTTCCTATTTTGCTAGGTCTGAACCAGTCGAAGAGACAGTAGGATTTCTTGATGACTGGTATATACTGGTGTAGTGAGAGGACGGCGTATTTCTCGAAATTTACACCGACCAGAGGGATGTTCTTCTGTGGTCAGCATGAACGGTCACAGGGGCTGTAATTCATCCAAGGCAAGAGTTACCTTTTGTTATCTTTGCTTCACTGGTGTACCTACGATGTCATTATCCGATTAAAAAGCGATGCCGATGGGAATCTGCATACCTGTTTTGCATATATTGCTGATAAAAAATTAATCGCGAGTCTGGTACCGTAAGGAGGGATGTTCAGTGCGTTCTATTACAGTTTTAGAGCCCTTGGTGACGACTGAAGACTAGTGTTACTAAGAAGCAACTGGTGGGCGGCGTTTCAGAGATTAACCCTGGAAGGCTCCCCAAACGGGCCACGTGGTAGATGCGCTGGACCAGCACGGGGACCATATCGGATTCTGGCTGACGTTATCAGATTTGCGTACCATAACAAATGCGAACATTCCGGGGTGCGGTATCAGACCCGGTTGCCGGCGTTCGTAGCGCACACTGAGACCCCGGCCACCTCACCCTGTTTATGTTGGCCAAAAACCTGATCATTTGCTGTGTGAACCACGGTGGTGTGGAGTGGAGCACCAAGGTGCTGGCTCGACTATCCCATCCACTTGCGCCTTCCCCCGCCTCCGGTCTTCTTGACTCTGTCTTAACACCGGCCCCAGATGGGGGAGGAGGAGAGACTGCGGCAGATGCAGCCCAAGTCTCAACTATCACTATAAACTAACTCACGCGCAAGTCACCGTGCCTGTGGAGCACATGGTGGACATCGTCGGATGCGACGGTCGAACTGTCGGAAGGATTAATGAACCTAGAACAGGATCACATCGCCATACCCACGTTATTTCTGATAATCTTCATCGTTCTATTTCTTTCCCTTCATCCCTTTATCTTGTCTTTTCACTCGACTTTCTCTTCACAGCTTTCCGAGATTTCACAGGAGTCACATTTTTCTCCACATAGCAGGTGAAGGGCCTCTGGCGGTTGAGCTGACAGACAGCCATTGGTAGCTACCGTGCTGATGGCCTCACTACCCGCTGACCGGCCACGCAAAAGAGCAACTAAGTGCAAATTATGTGCTTTGATCATAATATCAAACCAAAATAACCGGTTATAGTAGAGGTCATGTGAGAAACATGGCAACCGGCGAGTAAGAGTCGACTCACGACGGGGAGCGTGTTGCGGCCTAACTGTGAATCGCTGCCCAACGGTAAGAAGTGAAACGATATGGAGTTAATAACTGTGTCGGCAGGAAACACCGCCGTATGTTGCTCTGGGTATGATTTCTGTCTCTTGCAGTGGTCTACCAGGTCTTTGTATGCGTGAATCTTCTGACTTTACACATACTGTCAGTTTGAACCCGGTAATTAAGAACACACATATTAGATAGGTTGACCGTCGTCAGCCGCGTGGTTCACCCCTGTCCCAATGATTGCGCAATGATGGTTTGTTTGGAAATCTGTTTATAATAAAGCAAAAGCTGGCTGGACCTATCTCACTCCCACTTTGCACGCCCGCCATGTCCCAATGACAAGACAAGGTCCGGACAACTGTAGATGGGCGTGTGCGCAGTGATTGACCAGGCTGCGCTTGCCGCAGCACCAAAAGCCCTGACACATAATTGTCAATCTCAGTCTCTCTCCCCCCCCCCTCTTCCTCCCCCCCCCCCCCCCACTCTTATTCTCTCGTCCCGCTGACATATATCAGTGGCTTGTTTGAGACTGTCAACCAACTGGAAATGAGGTTGCGTGCAGTTGCTGACGTGATATGGACCTTTGCACGACAGTTGGACCGTTGATTTCGACGACACCCACCGTGTGCTCCACAGAAGGATGAGAGCAGGGACGGTGACTTGCGCATCATATGCCACACTCTCTCCTCCCTCACCTGGATCTGTTGTCATAACCAAGTCAAGAAGACCGGAAGCACAGGAGGCCACAAGTTTCTGGCATGGTGAAAACCCGCACCTAGGCGTACCACCACACCCCTGGTCGACCACAAACATCTGATCATGATTTTCAATGATAAAAAAGTGGGGGGCGACAGGGATCTCAGTTGGCACGACGTGAGCCTGCAAGGGGGTCCACAACCAAACTCTGAATGTTGGCATTTTGTTAAGGGTGCGCATTCCCGATAACGCATGCGGACTCTGATCTAGCCCCTTGTTTTAGTCCAGCTCATTGAGCGCGTGGTCAGTTTTAGGAGCCTCTACCTAGCACGTGCCACATGCATTTATGACGATAGGTATGGACGCAAATACACTATGCAGTCCGACCAAAGGGTGCCGTGAGCCGATGTGGTTCCGACCTGTCTAACCGGTTTAGCAGTCTGTACCCTAAACTAACACGGAAAATGTCATCCCGGTGAGAGTTACAGCACGGAGAATTTGATTCATTTTGGCCTGGTGACTTTAAAACGAATACCTACAACAGAAATTGTCCACAAGGCAGGTTGTCTGGTAAATATGTTGTAAGTCAGCCTCAGGGACTCACGCAATCACTATACCTTCAACAATCAAGAATTGGTGAATATATTTAGTGAGTAAAGATGTAAATGCGGTAGAGGTCACATAGAAAGACCGGGTATAAACTCTAAAACAGATAAAGTGTGAAGAGAAGTATGAATGAAGAAATTTTTGGAATGTCCGCCATTTTCGAAAAGTCTCATAACCACCAAGCGCATGTCACTGCTGCCTTTTTTCTCGTCCTCCCGACAGGAGGTTTGGCTTCACTCTAGAACTGTGAGCGACTTGGTGTTACAAATAACAATTCAAGACAAATTTTCGCAAAATAGACTCTATATACCTCTCTCTCTCTCTCTCTCTCTCTCTCTCTCTCTCTCTCTCTCTCTCTCTCTCTCTCTCTCTCTTGATTACCCTTAACCAGGAACCAGGTAAAGACAAGTTGTAAGCCCCCATCTAATTTTCTAAGACCGCTTTTAAATATAGGAGCCGAACAGGTCAACTTCCACAGACTGTGAAGCAAGCCGAAGTCGTTGAGCAGGTGCCTAATCAGACGCGCTCTACTAAACCACAGGATAACCAAGAGAGTTTCTAGTTGCGAATTAAAAGGTCATTTACACGACATTTGTCATGTCCTGGGCAGTAGCAGGGGGTCGGGTGACAAAACCGGCAGACCGTCACCTGCGGTCACCGCTTTTTTCACGCGTGGACACGCAGAATTCTCAGCCTGTCCTCGCGGGCGTAAACGAAGATCACACATTAAGGGCCGACTCTGGAGTCCGCCTGTGTATGAACTGTTGAAATAATTTGAATTTATGCGTGCAAAGGTGGGTCGGCAGGGTTACTGAACATGTCCCTAAGACGCCTGAAATATGACGGCATTTAAGAAATTTGATGTTGGACGCACGAATGATATACATTGCTTATTTTTGAGTCGAAGTGATTTTTGCTGGAGCATCCAAACCAGAGTCAATAGAAAGAAAGACCTTGTGGCGAATCGAAAGAGAAAAGCGACATGATATACAGTAGATGTGACATCTCAAGACATGCTAACCAAAATCCTGAAGTGTTTTTTATCTGAAATCAGTACTTCGGTAGGGTTGCAATGGTCCTTGTCGTACAGCATAATCCTAGGATATTCCAGACCTGTCAGGATGCCAGATTTTTAAAGGGCCTCTTTCTGGCCACTTGCAAAAGTCACACCCTTGTAAAAATGACTACTTACGTAGCACGAATTTTCACAATGCTTTTCAACGCTCTTGTACCTTCAAAAATATTTTATAAAAAAGTGCACAAAATTTTCTTTCTTGAACTGACATGGTGGGAAATTACGTCCACACGATAGTTAATCTGACAGTGTTACTTAAGTAATCTTTTCGAACTAAAACACATTTCAGAATTTCTGTCAAAATTTCGTGAGCTAGCATGTCTACCATGGCAGCGGTTAGATGGTCGGAATTATTTGCTTTTGCGGTTCTTGCCATCCATTTTTACAGGAATGCTAAATACAGCCGTTCCCGCCGTTTTATTTAGCGACGCCTTCCAAAAAATCACTTCCTTTGTTGTTTTCTATCGTGATATTTCGCAGAGTTTTGCATATCTGTGACTAAAGCCCGCTATTTTGCAATGGGGTAAGGAGGATAATTAATAATGATCAATGTGCTTAAAAACTTGATTGAGAACGCTCAGAATCCGGAAAGGAAGGTTCAACGTGCCGCCAGGCCCCAAGTAACTCTTAAATTCTACTTTTGTTCGGCATGATTTTCTTTGGCAGTTATTTTATTGTAAGATGATCTCCTAGGTGGAACTTCTGCATGTCAAGCACTTTAACTTCCGCTGTTCGACGAATTTGCATTTAAAGGAATTTGAAGTATCTTGGTAGTTGTCTTCGAATAGTAAAATTAAAGAGCTGTTCCAAGACTCTGTCACACCATTCAATCATCTCTCACTCTGAAAATCTGACTAGATGTAAGACACGAACGTCCCGAACATCATTTTTTGTGAGTAAGGTTCATCCTAATGAATCAAATTTTTATTTATTACAAATATGCGCTTGTAGCCAGTTTTGCTGCTTTTGAGTTATTAGTTTGGCATTGAGGGCCGAACCATACGCCGAATTCACAACCTTTCGAAAAATCCGAACAATAGGCCATGGCGGGCATATCGATCGCCAGATAAGTACTGAAATTGTAATGCTGTATAGGTCTAGGTGCCATAAAATTAAATTGACATGGACAATCTGTTTCTGAAAGAAACTCCTATACGGAAAGTTATACCCCAGGCACTTAGATAAAGACGACAAATATCGAGTTAGTTTTATAATCTTAAGTGCAGTGGAACTTTGTTACAACTGTTTGGACTGCGAGCATGTGACAGTTATCCATATAAGTGCAGCATTTTCTGTACCTTTAGTGGTGCTGCCACGTTATTTTTATATTAAATTCAACGTATCGGTAAACACCACCTTCAATTTCGATTGAAGCTTAACTAGAACTCAAGCTACTGCGGAACTTACAAATCCGTAGCCACGACTTTTTCCAGTTTGCCTGTCCGTTATAACGACCGCTTCCTCTATCTCCCCGAACTGCTCGAAGAAGTTGCGAAGACTCACATCTGTAGTGTGGTAGGGAAGACCTCCGACAAAAATCTTGGTCAGAGTTGTGTCCTTGGAGTGGTAGCTACTGGAAGTGCTCTCAGAAGGCATGAGTACGACTGTTCAGGCTGTCCGTCTCCACTTTCTGTAGGTAAATGGTTTTTGTGTTTTTTGACTGCAGAGAGCGTCTTCGTGTGATGCTGTGACCTGCGGTCGAAGTCAACAAGTAAGCAACATCGCTATGAGCAGAACAACAAGTGCATTCATTGATCGCTGCGTCCTTTGAGCTCCATCCACAACAGCCTAGGTACAACATAATACGAACGATCGCGTAAAGGCTGACCAATCATGGCAGAAGAAAGGATCGACCGTAACCAATCAAATGGCGGAGTCGACATTAACTCACCAGCACCGGCCGCACACAGCTGGTGACGCGCACGTGGCGCGATCCGCACGTACACAGCGCATCACACTCGCACACACACGCACGCTTGCTATCTGTGCTCATCGGCGAGGAGCGCTTGCTCAAGGTCGAAGACACGCGTTTTGCCTTTGCTAGAATAGGTCCAAAACAATGGTTTACACGTGGCACGCATAGGAGCACAGGGATCACTGGGAGTAAGGCACAGTATGGTTTAAGTGGGGGCGAAGGTCGTTTGATAGCCGGAACCACTTCTTTATTCGTCTGGGCTTTCGAATTCGTACAGAAGTCTATTGTCCGAGATAAATGCGGCAGCAGAATAAGCAGCAGATATAGGAGGTATGAGTCATCAAACAATAGCGACGCTAGTCTGGGGAAGACTGCGTAGGGCTCTATATGCGGACCCAAGATCGATATATCGATTGACCGAGTACTCATCTGAGGCCCAGGCTTCAATCAGTGTGCGGTTTGTCTGGCCTCTGGCGTTGGCGATCATCGTCGTGGCTGCAAAGTTAATCCCGTAGCTTGCCACGCAGGTGTGGGCAGCCACTTGTGATAATCTTTCACCCCGTCGAAGAGCCAGTTTATGTTTGTGTATACGCGATCTGAGGATGCGTTCAGTCGGAACTGTAGAGTTATAAGGACAGTTTGGGCACGGGAGGCGATACATTACACCCGACGGCTCACTTGCATTGAATCGGTCCTTGATTTTCATGACCCTTGTGCATGGTAGCTTTGGGCCGAAATGCTACTCTTACACCCGGTCCCGCATCAATGTGCTCGGTCGCCTCTGACACGTCCCTAATGCACGGCAGAGCATGCCATGCCATAGACGCTGCTTCTGGATGGGTCTCCCGGGAAACACATAGGCATCGGCTTATGAACGCCTTCGGATAGCTGTTCCGCGTGAACTAGTCGTAGAGATACCTTGCATTACGTGCTTTTCCATGCGGGTTGCTTCAATGAGTCTGAATCCGTTTGAAGAATGTTTTCCCCAAACTTCGATTGGGAGCCACCGGATGGTTGCTGTGACAAGTGATAAGCTGCGTAATGCTCGCCGCCCCCCTGGAGACTGTTGTTTTTATTTCTTTGCCGGAACTTCGCGTGATGAGCACATAAAATAAGGGCAGCTGCTACTCCTTTTTCCTCTTCCTTCCTGAATTGTGTGCCTGGGAAGACTGAGTTGAGCAGATTATGGAAATTCTGCAGCATGTTTGTCCTGACGATAACAAAAGTACCGTATATGTAACTGCGTCAAAAGATCGGAGCCTGCTGAAGGAAATCTTTTCCAATTCTTGTGGAGACAGTTCTGTCACCAAACCGGAGACTAGAGAACCTACTGGAGTTCCCTTGATCGGCTCATAGGTTTCTCCTGCAAAGATGAAGCAGGTCTTTTAGCAAAATTTGAATAGTCGCACGAGGTGCTTAATTTCTAGTGGACATTGAATTTCGTCGTATGACTTCTCAAGTTTTTTGTGTAAGATCTCTTGCATCAAACTCAGAGGGACGGATGTGTAACTAACGACATCATGTTGAAAGACACTATGACCTCTTCCGATTGAATCCGCTGACTTCGCCCATCTACAAAAATTGGTGGGCTGAACGGACTGAGACAAGAGAGGTGTCCTGGAGAAACTTCAGCCTCGAGCACCTGCATTCTGCCGAATTGTAGGAGGGCTGACGATTGGCCTCAGGAGAACATGCAGTTTGCGGGTCTTGGACAAAGCACAAAATCGAGCCACATCAGTATAGTTTAATGATAAAATGTTATGAGAGGGACATAAAACAGAAGCTCCCCTAAGAAAATTAATCAGTAACACAGCAAAGCATTCATAAGTGTCGTGCCACGTTCCCCTGTGAAGGATCATTTGTCTCTATCGGTGTCCCCTTCTCCATATGTACTACTAGTAGTCACGTGAATGTCAGCGAGGGCTCAGCCGCACTGGCACAACAGATGCGAGCACGTCCTGTAACCTGATCGGCGAGCGCTCCTCTACTAGGATTATGCGTTTTGGTGACAGACTTTAGGGCTAATGAACTATTCGTTGTGAATATTGTCCCGACCTCCTGCAAATATAAAATTCACAGACAACCCAACGAAGTCTGTGGATGATTTTCAAGGTCCCGCCAAACTACCCAAAACCACGGGGACTCTGTCAACTAGCGACGACAGAAACCGAAGCGGCAGCAGTAAGATGAAGGACCCCACTTAACTGTCGGTCGACTGTGGATCTTATCATATGGGATTTTGTCTTGTGATCCATTTCAGGCCGTTGCAGACACTACAATGCCAAAAAAATATTACTTCCTATGACCTTAAACCATTACTCAAACTGTGTTACTTTTTGAAACTTACTTTTTGTTCTTTTTTTGGTTAACGCGCTCATTTCCGCTGCCACGCGAAAGCGCACGACAAGACTTTCGACAACCAGGTTTTCAAGCCGATATTGTGTGCACAGAAGAAATTCCTGCAGGCAACGCATTTACATTGGGTAAAAGGCGAATGCAATTAAACTTTCGACGCTTAGCTCAGGTGACTAGAGCTTTGGACATGCCCAGGCCTTGCCCCTGGTATCACTGATTCGAATCCCACCGAGACCGCTGATTTTCTCCCAAACTGGGTCGAATGGGAAGTCAGCTAGTCGATCAAATTTTCCACTTCCCAGGCACTGATCTTCCGAATCGCCTCCCACACTAAATATGATTACATGACTAGACTGGCACCGACTACCTCTACTTACCTTCCCACATTCCACACCTCCGACTTGTGTGAAAAGTGAACGTAAGTCCACTTACCTAATTACAGATATGCTTTAATCGACCCCGCAAACATATATATGTACCGATTTGTTGAGAATTTTTCGAAGGTAAGCTCATGCTATATCAGGGTTGGACGCACACCTATCTGCTGGCCTTCCGATTCAAACAAGCTCCGTACGGGCCGAAAAGATCATGGACAGGCAGCCAACTTCCAGACCTGATATTTAATGATTTAAAATACTGACAGCACAGGTACCAGCTAGAAGTTGAGATACACGTGTTTCGCCGATATTGTGCCGGTTTATGACGTAGCTGTGAAAATTTCGGTTCATCAGTGGGTCTCCCAGCCTTCCCAATGTACTTTCTGGTAAATAAACTTCAGTTTCTCCATTTTTTCGTTTAAGAAATCTGTGCGCGAGGTAAACTACTCAAGACAAAGCTTTTTAGGCTGACTCCAAAAGTTTACACATGAATATTAGAGCTGAAATCTATGAGCTATTGCGGAATGGCTGCGGATTGTTCATAAGCTGTCAACATACAGTCAGTGGCGTACAAATACTAAATGGTTTACTCTATTGACTGCATAAGTACCAGCTAGAAGCCGGCAGGGGACGCTGTAGGGCCCGCTGATAAGTCGAAGCCCTCCCAGCTGCGTCATACAGCGGCACAAATCTGCAAAACACGCGTTTATAGGCTTTCACCTAGTACCTGTGGTGTCAGTATGATAAGTCATCCGTTGGTGATATACTAATGACTGTCTGTTGGCAGCTTGTGAGTATTACGGGGTAATTCCGCAGAATTTGATGAATTTCGGCTCGAATATTTAATATATGGACTTTTTGGAGCCAGCGTAAAAAGCTTTGTTTTGAATATTCTACTTCCATTTTGCGTATTTATTTCCTCAGAAATTAAAGATTGTGCCAGAAACGAGTCGGCCAAGTTATAATAGCAGAGACGGGAGTCGATAGGATAAAGCGGGTAGACTGATACAGTACTGTTTGGGGCTTATTCTGTCCTCATTCAGCCAATAACCATCATGCGCCGCTGTGCGGCTGCTGGTTGGGCTCGAGAGAGAGTCCATAAGGCACAACGGAACGAGTGAGTTCCGTATGAACGATCGGTGAGCGCCCCCTAACATTGTATATTCCCGATCGAAAACCGACAAGGCAACGGGCTCGTGGCCCGGTGAGTAGAGGCGTTGGCTTCTAAATCAACAGGTCGCGAGTTCGAGGCTCGGGTGTTCCACACTTCGGGCTTGGGTATGGCTGGCTGACGACGGCTAATAAGCCAGAAATGGCCATTCCAGTCTCCCTTGTCTTTGTCGGTAATACCATTCTGCCTATAACCCTAACTGTCTGCTGTAACCAGATACACAAACACGCGCTGGTACATGGTGCAGATGATCCACAGTCGGGGTTTATTAAATGCGTCACAATAACTTCAATAGAACCGAAGTTCATCAATGACCCGCCACCTGTCGTTCTGTACTGCTGCAGACCGGATATCCAATCAATCAGGAATGGGTTTCTGGTCCCATCTTGAATGTAAGTAGTTTTAAATAGCATCCCTTTTTATTTTCTGTGACTTGGTTTCGCATCGAACTAGTTGCTTCACAACGAAATTTCCGCACACCCGCGTATACACCGGCATTGACAGTGCTAGTCGTCATTTCAACTTCGAAGCGCATCGGATAGGCTGCTCCTAACTCCAAAATCCGAGTCAGAACGGCAAGAAGACATGCCTACTTATCTGAGTTTGGTAAGCAGGTTACATTGGGGTTAGTGCTGGGTTAAAGGGTTTGGGTCAGGGCTAGGGAGATGAGAAGGATTAAGTTTGTCGGCCGCACACCATCTTACACGGTCCAGCGTTTTTTAAACAATAATCCTGGATTACTTGTTTCCCCCCTTCTTAGATGTCCCCGACTTACGCC